TTTTTTTTTTTTTTTTGAGGGGAGTACCGGGAATCAAACTCAGGACCACTTCAACTAAATCCCTGGCCCTAGAATACCAATTTTGAAATCAAATTGCCAGGGCCGGGGACTTAGCTCAGTGGTGCTGCCACCTGCCTAGCAAGCACAAGGTCCTGAGTTCGATCTCCAGTAGAAAAAAAAAAAAAATTCAAATTGACAACTTATAATCAATACATTTCTCCTTATCTCTCTTTCTCACCCTTTCTTTCACAGCTTAATTTTTTTTTTCTTGAGACAAGGTCTCATTATGTAGTTCAGGCTGGCCTTGAACTCATGGCAGTTCTCCTGCCTCAGCCTCCTGAGTGTTGAGATTACAGGCGTGCGCCACGACATTTGGCTTGTTTTTTAAATTTTTAGACAGGAATTCACTAAAATGTCCTGCTTGGGACATGTGATTCTTCTGCCTGTGCACTGCCTCGCCCAACTTGCCATCACTAATCTTTGTATAGAAATATAAATTGAAGCTAATTGATTCATTCAGGGCTGAATTATCAATTAACTTTTAAAAGCCAGTTTAGCTGGGGATTTAGCTCAGCGGTTTGATGGCCTGCCTTGCAAGCACAAGGACCCGAGTTCAATCCCCGGTACAAAAAAAATAATAATAATAAAAAGCCAGTTTATTCTTAGCAAAGCAGTAAAATCTAGAACATAATGACTATTACTTGAAGTTATTAGGCCTTAATCAGATTTTCTAATTTCTCCTTTAAGTGTGGTGACTCCTCCTCCCTGCTTCTCCCTATTAAGTCAGTGGATTCTGCTCCTTCTAACTTTGGCACACCTCTCACCCTTCCCACCAGCTCCCGTCACCCCTTTTCAGGTCACCTTCCTGTCTGTCATTCCCCTCAACACACACACACACACACACACACACACACTCCAAAGAAAGCACTGGTTGAGTCACTCACCTACTCTGGCACATGAATGGTTCTCGGCTTCCTACTCAATGAGTAAGGCTTCATCTACCCTGTGGCCCTCCCACTGTCTCATGCCAAAGCATCTTCAAGCTCCTTTCTTTCACAGAATGGAATGACCCTGTACCTGAAACCTGCAGCCTCCCCTGCTCTTTTCCAGACCTCCCTTGTGACTGAACCTGGACTCACCCTCCTTAGCTCACCTCCGACACAGCGCAGCCTCTCCCGCCCCTGCATGGATGCGGGCTCACAGCATATCACCAGTACCTCTCCGGAGTGGTTACGGAGCCTGCTCTGCTCTGAGGATCTGTATACTTGTGTTTTCTCCCCACCAGACCACAGACACCTTGGAGACAAGGTCTCCCTATTTCTTCTTTGTATCCCACATAGTATCTTTCCCTGTCTAGATTCTCTGAATACACATTAAATGGAAGAGAAAGAAAGAAAAAAAAAAAAAAGACAAATTCTTTTAGCTCTAAATTAAGAGGAGAGGACAAACCGGTTTGTATGACCAAGTAACAGACCAGACTGGACACAGCTGGGTATAGCCAAGGCTACGTGAAGACCCAGAGAAGATCAACTTAAAACTAGATGTGCAGGGAAAAGCAGAACAGAATGAAGTAGCTCACAGCAAACACGGCCTGACTAGGAACACTGAAAGTGAGGGCTAGGTCCTAAAACTCAATAGCCAAAATGTTTCTCAATCCAAGAGAGACTTGTTGATTCTCATCTTTGCACAAAACAGGAAACTCTGAAATTTAAAGGATTCTGCTTTCTCTTTAAAATACTGAATGGTTTAAGCATGAAAGACAATACAGATGATGTTCTGAGAGCCTGCAGGGTAAACCTTCCTACTGAGAAGGCCAGCCATCTGACAGCTTGACTTCTTGTCGGTCCAAGCAGGCCCCAGGCACGATGCCTACAGGGTCCTGGCTGTTCTCACCTATGGATGGGAACCAGGTTTGTTGTCGAAGTGACAAAATGAAGTGTGACTAATATTTTTCCATTAGAGTACTGTTTGGGAATGCTTTCTTAACAAAGGAAAACTACTTTCTGTGTTCATAAAAATAAATGAGCCGCAGAGCAGTTACAAAAGAGAACATGCAGGTCAGACCCGAACTTGGATCTAATGAGAATTATTACTGACACCATAATAGAAATGACACTGAAAGTCCCAAATCCTGAGATGTATGGCTTTATCGCATAAGATTATTTTGAAAATCAAATACAATTAATTTCCCAGACCAGGGCTTCCCTCTGCAACTGCTACAAGGAAAAAAGATGAGAAGATGGACATGTGCGAAATTAAATGAGAAACAAGCTCAGTGTTTTACTCCCCTCAACATAATAACGCAATAAAGTGGTTAACCTGGATGGGTGTCAAATTTTACAGCCCTCTATTAAAACAAATGAGTAATTTGAGGAATTAAGAAGGCATCTTCTTGTAATTACCATTACAAGATTCTAATCAAGAGAACTTAAATCTAATGTGGCAAGTCTTCATGAAGACTAACCAGTACAAGGTATTCATAGAGAAATCCAGAGCTATTTAAACATGAACTCTGGACAGAAAGAAGCAACGGCTCTTCAACTGATGTTCTTAGTGGCCACCACAATTCAGGCTGCAGACACACACTCTGAGTAGAATTCCTCTCCCTTTCTTTATTCCATTCTCCCCTCCTATTAAATGACATGTAACCATTTTTCTTTCTCTGGAATATGTTTACTTGGAAGCATCCAGACAAATGCCCACACCACCTAAGGCCCAAATCCAAATTACCTTCTTTTAAAGTCCATTTGATTGAACCTGTCCTCTTGCTGACAGCATGCAAACTTCCATCCAAGGTTGACACAAACAGCAAGGTTTCAGGCAGTGTCACTGTGCTGGTACTTGCAAAAATCTGCAATGGGACATATGAGTCTGACGTCAAAACGCTTTTCTACTTTGGACATGAACAACCACGGCCAGTGATCCCCAAAGTAATCCTGCATAAACGCCCCCTGACAGATGAAGAAACAGTGTGGAGGGATCTATAGTCTCACCGAAGGCATGTGTCTGGACAGCAGCTGAGTCAGGACTAGGACCAGGCCCTCTTATTCTGTCTAAGCAGTGATCCTATCTGCGGACAGGGAGGCCCACAACAAGGAGGGGGTACTGAAACAATCCATGCACAGCTTCCACTGACACCAAGGGTTACATTCTCAGTCTCCTGACTTCCTTCTTGCAGGTCTAATTTAATCTCTAAAACCTACTCATCTCACAAGACTCCATGATTTAAAAAAAAAGGACGCTAACACCCACCCCTCTATATACAAATGAAAATTGTATAATTTAAATTAAAACACTTTTTTGTTCAAATTACAAAAAAAACATTTTATGAAAATAGCCAAAGACTATAAAATTATCTTTCTCTTTCATTGCTGGTTGCATTCAAAATTATACATTACTAACTGGTACAGAATGCCTACAATTCCGGCTTCTCAGGAAGCTGAGGCAGGAAGGTCACTAGTTCAAAAGGGCTGTGGATATAACTCAGGGCTCCTAGGGTTCAATCTCCTGTACTTTTTTAAAAAAAATGCTTATACTTTTAGATCCTGTAATTCCCTTTCTATCCCCTAGAGAAATAATCCCAGATACAGAAACGGCTCTGGGAAATAATACTTATTCCATCCTGTTTAAAAACAACCCAGAAAGAACCAATTCCCAATAATAGCCAAAAGGTTAAAATCAGTTAAGATACTGTGCTTGATGAAATATTACATACACATTGATGCAGAACTTAGAAAAATCTGCAATAAAGAAAAATGCTTATATACATTATCTGGTGAAAATACAGAATTTTAAACTTTGGATTGTAGAATTATGGCTGCTATGCACCATAGTTAAGGTTATGCTGGACAGATTTTTGTCTGCCTGTCTTCTGGCGCTGCCCTCATCCTCACATGGTTTCCTCACATGGAACAGCAGTGTGCACAGCTGGTAAGGTTTCCTAGCTAAGCCTTCTCTATTGAGATAGAGCCTATTCAGCAAAGCCACCCTCTAAGATTTTCTCTTCCCCTGCCACCATACTGTCCAGCAAATGAGCTCGCTCTTGTGTGGGGCCTTAGATTAGACGCAGGTCAATACAGTCAGCTTTTACTGCAACAGTTTGAATTTAGGTATAAATACTATTTTTAAAATATAGAAGCATGGCTGGCTTTTAATATCAAACACAAAAAGATTGTGGGGGGTTACTTGTGCACGGGAGCCTGACCCCAGAATGAATGGTCACTCTTGTAAAGAAGCAGGATGAAGCCAGTTAGACCCTTAAAAGGGAAGGCCCCGTGGCTCTCTCCAGGGCAGCCTGAGGGGGCTGGTGCCTGCATTCTTTTTCCATAGGACCCCCACCAGAAGGAGGGGGGTGTTAATGCCACTGCCAGAACCCTGCTCATCCCTCCCTTGGTAGTAAGATCTGCAGGGGGAGAAGTTCAGCCCTTAGCTCTGCCTCGTGGCCAGGCCCACTCACCAGAAGGGGAGAGACAGAAAACTTGACCAAAGCCTGCTGGGCCAATTCTCTGTGTAAGCCTGGAGCCTGATGAGGAAGAGTCTGCTTTTCATTTTACCAGTGATTAGCAAACTAGTCTCAGAGAAGGAACCAGAGAACAGACCCCTCAAGGGTGGTGCCTGGCCTATGTGAGGATCCAAAAGTCACCATCTGGGAAATCATTAAAATCATTTTAGCCCACAAGCTCCACGATGATAAGTCACATCTAGACCTGCTCGCCTGGCCCTAAGATAAGATCACCGGAGCTGCAGTGGGAAACAGCTATGTCCCATAGAGGGATGAGTTTGCTGCTTGCGATGAGATGGCTGGATGTTAAGGTAAGCAGCTCGGAGGCTGAATAAATGAGAACAGTAGATGTATGCAAACGGGGGGCCCAGGAAGTGGAAAGCCCCTCCACCTGTCAGTTACCACAGGTATAATTATTCTGTTTGACAGCTCTTAGGATCCACACTGGAACTGAACTGGACTCTGGGAGGCTGAAGTAGAAGGAAATAAAACATAGGAGAACAAGCTGAGTAAGAGAAGGACAAAGAGAGACAAGGAAAGGAAGCCTGAGAAGATGTGGAGAGAATAAACTGGCTGCCATTGCTCCTCAAGCCTCTGCACGCCCTTCCCTCTAGCTCAGAGCCCCCTCAGTCCCTAAACTGCCCTCTTGGCTTAAGCTTCTCGGAATCTGGTTTCTGTCTGTCACTTACAACCGAAATGGTTCACACCTCCACACTCATGTTTTTAAATGCAGAGAGAAAAAAGATGAAGATATTGCAAAACTATACTAACAGCTTTTCTCTCTTCTACTTCTCTGAATTTTTAATAACACGATCATGTAATCTGCAAGGAATCCTTCATAAACTAGGACGGAGATGTGTAAGTTAGCAGGTGAGAGAGACGCTGGAATTTACACAAGTCTCAGTGAACACCTGAGTTTGGGTGAAGCGCTTCCCATTCCAGGGCATTAGACAACTCAACCGCCTCTGATCACTAATACTCAGTGAGACAGACAAAAGTTTAGAGACTCAGACATCTTCCAACCAGATTGTGTGCATCCAAGAATTAAAGAATCTGTTGTTACTAAAGCCTACAATGCAACAATAGCAAACTAAGTGCCCCTCCATACATCTTATCAGAGTATTAATATTTAAAACGGTCATGTGATCCCCAGTACCAAAAAATAATAAAATAAAATGGCCATAACTCACTAAAACATTTCAGTCCTACTTCACTGCTAGTATGGAGACGAAAGCCACCTGCTTTGACAAAGCATCCGGCAAACCACAGGAAGAGCAATTGTCTACGGTTGGCTGGTGAATTGAAATAAAATACTAATAACATGACTAATGTAGTCTTCTAGAAATCTCAAAAGCATAAGGGTTAGAAAGAAGTTGAATTTAGCAACTGAGAGCTCTGACAGTTAGTCACAATGTCCGCAGTACCTCCCAGAACCTCTCATAACAGGCCAGTTCTTCTCTTTGAAGGTTCCTGGCTCTTTCAAATCAGGATGCCTGGGAAGCTGCTCTGAACATCTCACAAAGCACATGAATATTACACATTTCCTAGCTTTTCCATCAGGGACTTTTGAAGCAAACACGGCTGCCTTCACATACAGCTGCTGTAACTGACGTGAATCAAATATGCTTCTCGATGACTTTTATGATACGGAGCACAGCGAAGAACCATTTGTTCCTGAACATCAAAAAACACTGCTTCACAATAATGAATTTGTTCATTATCTTCGTCCAGTCATTTCAGTCTTCGGCACTCACTTTTCTCTACAACAGATGAACTAGCAACAGGGCCTCCGGCTACACACATTAGTTTCCAGAAAGTATGAAAATGGAAAGAAAAAGCCAATCCTACAGATCTGCTCCATGCTGACTATCTAAAATGTGACTCATGCTCAAAACTACTGGAGTCTCTACTGACAAGTGGATAAAGAAGATGTGGGTTTTTATACAACGGAGTACTACTCTCCCATAAAGAAGGATGAGCTTCAGACATTTATAGCTGAATGGATGGACCTTGAGACCATACTCTGAAGTGAAATAAGTCGGACGCGTTTTAATACTGAATTGTTTCTCTGGTGTGAGAAACCTGAGTTCCCAGGTTAACTGATTACCTAATAACAAAGGTCAGAAGGAACAAGGTTAATGAAACTAGCACACACCTTTCATCTCTAAGGCAGTAGGACAAAGCGGTACCATGCACACAAATCCCTCACACAGGTTGTTTTGGTTTGATTTTGAGATAGGATCTCAGTGTGTAGTTCAGGCTGGCCTTGAACTCATGGCAATCTACCTGCCTCAGCCTCCTGAGTGCTGGGATTACACATGTACACCACCACACCCGACCCTCTCACAGTTTTGCAGAGTGATCCACACTTACTTACTTTCTTTCTTTCTTTCTTTCTTTCTTTCTTTCTTTCTTTCTTTCTTTTCTTTTCTTTCAAGTAGGAAAAATCCGCCAGGTGTGGTGGCACGCACCTGTAATCCCAGCACTCGGGAGGCTGAGGCAGGAGGATTGCTGTGAGATTTCTTTCTTTCTTTCTTTCTTTCTTTCTTTTCTTTCAAGTAGGAAAAATCCGCCGGGTGTGGTGGCACGCACCTGTAATCCCAGCACTCGGGAGGCTGAGGCAGGAGGATTGCTGTGAGTTCGAGACCAGCCTGGGCTACATAGTGAGTTCCAGGTCAGTCTCAACTACACAGTGAGACCCTGTCTCAAAAAAAACGAAAAAAAGGACTGGGGATTTAGCTCAGTGGTTTCGTCACTTGCCTTGCAAGCTCAATGGGGGCCCAAGTTCGATCCCCAGTACCAAAAAAAAAAAGAGTAGGAAAAATTTATTCAGGGAAAGAAAGCTTCTGGCTAAGAGAAATAGAAGGGGGACCAGAAAGTGGGTTGCCCCGATCTACACTTTATGAGCACTATAATCTCTGTTCCACCTACAAAACCCTCTCAAAAAAACGTCACACAGAATAACCACTATCGTGAACAAGAGAGCCCTAAACTTCTCAGGTGGCATGCAAACTGACCAAGTCCAATGTCTCTAAAAGTTAAATTCATATGGCAACAATAATGCTACTTTAGTAAGATAAATGAAGAGTTAAGAATTGTGTCTATGATTCTTCTCCCCTTCCCATTTCCACCCCACAGACTATAGTATTTTTTTTTCCTAGTTTTTTGAGATGAGGTCTAAGTACGTAGTTCAGGCTGGCCTAAAAACATGCAGGAATCCTCCTGCCTTAGCCTCCCAAGCGCTGGGATTACAGGCATGCGCCATCATGCCCAGCTCAGACTATAGTATTTATAATATTAGAATACAATAATCTGATTCATAACATTTTCTTTTCTTTTAGGGCATCAAT